CACTTGCCTGCTCAGACCTTTGCCTTCTTTGACACGGCCCGGTGAACTGCGTGCTAAAGATGGCATCTGTCCTCCCAGCATAAGGAAGTGGTGGTCAGGATTCTCTAAGGGGGCCTGTTGGTGGTTTGGATGGACAGTTAGTTCTTCATTGCGTGCCTTGCAGGATATTTAGCCTCCCAGGAGCCTGGTCCTTGTGGCAACCAGAAGCACCTGCACACATTTTCAAGTGCCCCCCCCCCCCCGGGGGGTGATCTGCCGGGGTTGAGAAGCATCAGGCCTCAGCACTGCATTGAGAATAGGCCAGGGGCCAAAACCGGTTTGGCTCTGCGGTAGAGTGTCGGTCTGCGGACTATAAGGTCCCAGGTTCGATTCCGGTCAAGAGCATGTACATTGGTTGCGGGCACATCCCCAGTAGGGGGTGTGCAAGAGGCAGCTGATCGATGTTTCTCTCTCATCGACGTTTCTAGCTCTCTATCCCTCTCCCTTCCTCTCTGTAAGAAAAATCAATAAAATATATATTTAAAAAAAAAAAAAAAAAGAGAATAGGCCAGGGGTGTGAGGTCGGAGGCAAGCATTCCAGGGAAAGACAAGGCACCTCGGTCCTCTGCTTGTTTCACGTGGGATTGTGTATACAGAGCGGTTCCTTTGTTTTAACTTTGTAGATAAGAATATTGAAGCGCTTGTTTATTGAGTACCAATGACATTCTCAGTGCTGAAGACCAGCCTTCAGTGAAGTACAGTGCCTGTCCTCAAGGAGCTTAAAATCTAGTGGGGAGGGAATCGGCTAGTTACCCAGTGAGGAGTTTCAGGTGGTGGTACCAGTATGGAGAGTAATAGGGCTATCGGTCATCTAAAGGACTCTGAGACAGGAAATGGGGGATAGACCATCTTAGACTGCAAATATGCTAGAGAATGATCTAGAATATGATCAGTATTGGGCAATTTTCAGATTGGCAAGAAGCTCTCTGTATTCACTGATAAGGTCAGACTGACCTCAGGCAGCACTGTGAGCTTGGGGAAATGCTTGCTTCTCTCTTAGTAACCCCAAGACTGTGTTTGGAGGCTGGCTTTGGTGTGCTGGGCCCCCAGGCTGACCCGTGAGGCATTTGGGGAGTGTTGCTGTTTGGTTCCTTGGTGGAGACATGTACACATGTATGTGCTTCTTGTGCCCTTTGACTAGCCCGGGAAGAATTATAAGGAACTAGCATCAGTGGTGGGCCACCTGAGGAAGAAGGGACGGAGTGCTGGGCTGAGAGGAAAGCTTCCTTTAAACATTTTTAATATTTAAAGTTTTTAAAAAAGAATATATTTTCATGGCTCAAAATTTAAAAAGGTACAAAAGATTTGTGGTGAAAGAGACTTGGTACTGTGTAGTGCTTCAAGTTTTCCTTCTGGCAAATATTAGCTGTTCAAGAGATAAACTAACTTAAGGGAAGTTCCCTGGTGATCCCTCAAGAAGAAAGTTTCGGGTTAGGTCAGAATGAGGCCTCCTAAATACTAAGCTTTTTGCATTGGGTTGTTTCATCAGGTCAAAAAACCTATCTATGGGGCAGCATCTATGGGGCAGCATTAAGGTTGGTGCTTAATAAAATGTGGTCTAAACAAAACTTGATTATTTCAGTGAATTAGAAAGGCTCAGGCCCCTTTATTATCAGTTACTGAGTCATCATGGGTGATAAGGAAACTGAGGCAACATCTCTTGCCTCAGTTTCCTTATCAGCAATACTTTTATAAGTTTATTGTGAGAATTAAGTGAAGGATGAGCTAAATAAATGTTAGCACTCGGCATTTACCAAATGGAGTGAAGGCAGCTTCAGAAAGATAGTCAGCTTTAATACTTAGTCCATTCAGTTGAGTTAGAACCATTGCTCTCTTTTTCATTGGTCATCATTCTTTTTTTTTTTTTTTAAATAAAACTTTATTATAATTGCCAGGTTTTTAAAAATATATATTTTATTGATTTTTTTACAGAGAGGAAGAGAGAGGGATAGAGAGCTAGAAACATAGATGAGAGAGAAACATCGATCAGCTGCCTCTTGCACACCCCCTACTGGGGATGTGCCTGCAACCCATGTATATGCCCTCAACTGGAATCAAACCTGGGACCCTTCAGTCTGCAGATCCATGCTCTATCCATTGAGCCAAACCAGTTTTGGCTGCTCATCATTCATTCTACAAATGTCTATGAAACGCCTAGTGCACACCTGATACTGTCCCAGGCCCTAGGGATACAGGGACACCGTTCTGGAGTTTATAACCTGGTGAAGGACAGTAGCCGTTAGTATATAACAGAGAGGTGAGCCCGTCATGGGTGTCAGAGAGGGACTGTTCCCCCGGGGAAGTGACAGGTTAAATTGTCAGAGGGAAAGGAAGGAATAGCATGTGCAAAGGCCCATTTGACAGAGGAGGCCAAGGCCAGTGTGCCCGTTGTGGGCAGAGCCGGGAATGAGATGCCACGCAGACTGAGATGTAGTCAGGGTAGGTGCAGGGCCTTGCAGGCCAGGCTGAGAAGTTTTTTCTGTGTAGAGTTTTTTTCTGTGGTGTTTACTCGGGTGGGTGGGTGGGTGGATTCCGGTGATATGATTGGATCATCGTTTGGCATGCTAGCCTGTTTGCAAGTGCAGAATGAATTGGAGGAGAGCCACATGGGTGTGACTGAGCTGATTAGAAGGCCTATGCAGTGGCTCAGGCAGATTTTAGAAGCATGGGCCATGGTGCTGGCACTGGATATGGAGAGAAGCGAATGCGCTGAGCCATGGATATTTAGGAAGGAACATTGGCAGGGCTTGATGATGTGTTAGCTCGGTGAGTTGAGGAGAAGGAGCTGTCAAGGATGGCCTGTGTTCGCATGTTTTGGTGGAAGGTTGTCCGGTCACTCGGATAGGGAGCGCTGGAAAAGGACGTGTGTGGCAGAGGGATGCGGTTATGAATCTGCTATGGATTTAAGTCCAAGAGGAGGCAGGAAGGCAGTAGGATGTAGAGCTCAGAGGGGTCTGGGCTAGAGATCTATTTTTTTAAAAAAATATATTTTATTGATTTTTCACAGAGAGGAAGAGAGAAGGATAGAGAGTTAGAAACATTGATGAGAGAGAATCATTGATCAGCTGCCTCTTACACACCCCATACTGGAGATGTGCCCGCAACCAAAGTACATGCCCTTGACCGGAATCGAACCTGGGACCTTTCAGTCCACAGGCTGACGCTCTATCCACTGAGCCAAACCGGTCCCGGCATGGGCTAGAGATCTAAATGCAGGAGGTAATTATTATTATTATTAACATATAGTTTATTGATTTTTTAAAAAAATATATTTTCTTGATTTTGTACAGAGAGGAAGGGAGAGCTAGAAACATCGATGGGAGAGAGTCATTGATCAGCTGCCTCTTGCACACCTCCCACTTGGGACATGCCCGCAACCAAGGCACATGCCCGTGACCGGAATCGAACCTGGGACTCTTCAGTCCCCAAGCCAACGCTCTATCCATTGAGCCAAACTGGTCTCAGCAGTTTATGGATTTTTTACAGAAAAGAAGAGAGAGGGATAGAAAGCTAGAAACATCGATGAGAGAGAAACATTGATCAGCTGCCTCTTGCACAACCCTCACTGGGGATGTGCCCACAACCAAGATACATGCCCTTGACCGGAATCGAACCCGGGACCTTTTAGTCCTCAGGCCCACGCTATACACTGAGCCAAATCAGTTTCTGCTAAATGCAGGAGCTTATTGATGCCTGAGCCTTGAGAGGGGGGAAGGAAGGGAGGGGAAGCATGCTCCCTTGCCCTGAGACTTGCTACCGTGTTTCCCCGAAAATAAGACCTAGCGCAACTTTGGGAGAAAAAATTAATATAAGACACTGTCTTATTTTCGGGGAAACAGGGTAGTTAGTTTCATGCTGGCCATGTCCTGGGACAAGAGGAGCACTTGAGACAGGACTTTGGATGAGGAGGGAGTCCATCTTCCAGCAGAGTCCTTGCCAGTGGGCATGTGCCCTCTGTGGTGGCATCTGAACATGAGGACATCTTGGGGGTCCCTCCCTTTCCTGCCTCCTATTCTGTTTCCCCGGAGCCTGCCACCTGCCATCTTGAATGAGCTGGAGGAATAAGGAGCCTGGAGGCTGGCTCCTCAGACCCACACATTAGCCGCTGTTGTCTGGATATTATCTGTAGATAATTGGAAATTGGTTTGAACATCGGTACAGTAAACCAATCAGAACTCTCACAAACTGCTTCTTTTATTCTTTTGGAGGTTTGTAAATTTCCTCCGAGCCTGTCTGTGTCCGTCTCTCTCTCTCTCTTTCTCTAAATTTTGGTGAGATCAGTCAAGGGTCGAAGGCAGATGTGAGGGTGAAGGAGAGATCCAGAGGAGGAGGAAACAGATTAGAGCCAGGCCACAGTGTGCTTGCCTGCCAGTTGGTCTGCTTATCTGTCAGCCTGTCACTAGCTTATTGTGAAAACAGAGTTTAGGCCTACCTTTCTTTTCTGCTGTCCTCAGTGACAGGGGTAGGAACCAGGATAGCTCCCGCTCTCCTGGCTCCAGATAGAAGCCCCGAGAAAATCCCGGGTGTGGGCAACTGGGGCCCCCTTGTGGCTGGATCTGTTTCTCCACTTTGGCTCTGCCTTTCCTGCTCAACTCGGTAGTTGGGAGGAAGCAAAAAGGAGGTTTTGCTTTCATTTAACACCTTCCTGCTGGACTTTGCGATTTCCGTGGATTTGGTGATGGTCCTCAACCCCTGCTGCCCAGCTGCTGGTTTGGGTCCTCCCATGCCAAGGCCAGCCTTCTGGGGTGCTGGCACCGAACCCAGACAGTCTCTTCACGCTCGCTGGGCCTTCAGACCCTTGGCCACGGCCTACAGACAGCCCACCCAGCACTCCCCAGAGTGGAAACGGAGAGAAGTATGGGACCGGAGTTGTGTGTGTTGCTCGAGAGTAGAATGTCTTTGGTTTTGGTGTCCATTGGGTGGCACTGTGATCTTATTTTTGTTTCTGTTTTTCTTTGCAGCCGAGCTCTAGCCCAGGAAGTGAACATGTGATGCCTCGAGAGCCACTGGTAAGAATCCAGGTTCCATATGTATCTTTTCTAATAGTTAAAATACAATGTGAGTTTCAAGAAACCCTGCGATCTTACAGTTTTACATCAGCAGGTTGTGTGGAGACTAACCCCATCAGTGCCTCTGCCTTCTGACTTTCTGGCATCAGGAATTAGTGAGATCTCTTCAGTAAAGCCTCATCTTTTTTTTTTTTTTACTTTAATTTTTATTTATTGATTAGAGAGAGAGAGAGAGATTTGTTGTTCCACTTACTTATGCGTCATTGGTTGATTTTTGTATGTGTCTTGCCTAGAGATCAAACCCACCACCTTGGCATTTCGGGATGATGCTCTAATCAACTGAGCTACCCGATCAGGGCAAAGCCTGACCTTTTCTGAAACGAAAGCGTCCACCCGGTTGGTGATGCACCACGTGGCTTATTGCTGATCAATAGTAATTAGTGGGGCGCCTGAAACCTTTGGGGGCTGAGTTGGAGTGAGGCTGCTGGGCTTAACCAAGTTGCTGCCTGATTGTATAGACTAGCCGTTCATTGTTTTTTTTTTTTTTTAATCCTCACTCTAGCTTACTTTTCCATTTATTTTTAGAGAGAGTAGAAGAGAGAGTGAGAGCCGGGACCGGTTTGGCTCAGTGGATGGAGCGTCGGCCTGCAGACTGAGGAGTCCCGGGTTCGATTCCGGTCAAGGGCATGTACCTTGGTTGCGGGTGCATCCCCGGTTGGGGGTGTGCGGGAGGCAGCTGATCGATGTTTCTCTCTCATCGATGTTTCTAACTCTCTGTCCCTCTCAATTACTCTCTGTGTAAAATCAATAAAATATATTAAAAAAAAGAAGAAAAAAAAAAGGAGAGAGAGTGAGAGACAGAGAGAAACACATCGATTGGTTGCCTCGTGCACGCACCCCTACCCGGGCCCAGGCTGGGGAGGAGCCTGCAGCTGAGGTCTGTGTTCTTGACCAGAATTGAACCTGGGATCCTTTGGTCCGCAGTCCGACGCCCTGTCCCCTGAGCCACACCGGCTAGGGCTGGAATAGCTGTGCTTTGCCCCTGAGGGGAGGGCACCGCGGGTGGCCTTTGAAGAACAGGTAGGGGAGGGAGCTCCGTTTTGCCTGGTTAGTAGTTAGGTTTATGATTTGTTTTCTGCTTACACTATCGACAGGGAAGAGGCCTACCAGGTACCGAAGGTTATTTTCTTGACAAAGTGCTTTTGCTTGGGTGTCTGAGCCAGAGTGCCTGCCCACCTGCCCCATTTTATCCTACTTTGCACTTCAGGACGGTTGTCGGCCTGGTGATGGGGTAGAGAGACCAAACAGACATGTTTTATGGAGGGACCAGCTTCAGGGTGACCTTTTCAGAGCTTTTTCTCTTTGAATGTTGACAGCAAGTTTAGGGATGTACCGCCAAGCTTTTGTTTTTGCGGGGCCTGCTATTTTGCCTGCTTTTCTTCCTTCTCCTTCGGGCAGTGGCGTGAGGAGGTAAGGAGAGGGCCTTAGCATTGTGAGCAGTCTGAGTCCCAGCCTGTCTAAGGCTTTCGGGGACAGGGGAGAAGGACAGGGCGATAGGAGCCCTGCCTGGCCTTTCAGGGCAGTACTGCTGCCATCCTGTCACCTGCTGTGACCAAACACGGCTCGTGTCCACCTGCCCGCGGTGGCTTCCTTCCACTCTTTTGAGATCTGAGTTCTTCCTGGAGGTCACGGCGGTGTGACAGCCAGTCTCTTAGCCAGTCCTTGAGTATTTCCCACGGGGCCTGCCACACTGCCCCTCGGGCTGAAGTCATGATTGGTTTTAGAGTGATGTCCAAATTGAATATGACAGTCCTTTTCAGTCCTTTATTCCTCAGTCTCCTTTTAAATTTCGACCTCCTAATTTAACTGCTGACCACCAGGAGAGCGGCCGGTCCTTCTGGGGGGGTCATGATTGGGCACACTCTGGGCGGTCCTTCTACAGGGAGCCCGAGCGGCTGGCAGCCTCGCTGACTTCGGGGGATTTGCAGCCCTTTGCTCTGCTGATGCTCTGTGCGCGCTCTTTTCCTGCTGTCCTGTGCATCTGCTTGTTGGTTGGTTGTATTTTTATTTCTTTCTTTTCTGGGAGGCCCTGAGCAGTCTTCAAACCCTAGTAGCCTGTGATTGTCCAGAGTTCAGACTCATTCTCTCCAGGCCAACTCTACAATTACCTTATATTTAATTAATATTTTTTCCCCTCTTTACGTACTTGCTGCATAATTGCTCCGAGGAAAGAAAACACATAGCAGCAATTTATATATATATAAAAAAAACAATAATTAAAAAAAACCCCCGAAATAAACTCCCATCTCATTTGGGCTGATCCTATGAGTTGGGTAATTAGAGCCCTATTAAAAGGTAGACCCCTCTTTTTTTATTAAATTTTTTATATTAAACTCCCACAGTCTCTCAGTCATGGCCTTATTGCTTTTGGCCAACCATTTGCAGCAGCCTGATTAAATGAGGGCACCAGCCGAGCTGTATGGTCTTGTGTGAACTACTTCTGCCTCTTGGGAGCGGCGGCAGGAGGGTGCCAGGCAGAGGAGCCTGCCAGGGGCCAGCGAGAGCTCGTGTGGCAGGTGGTGGGTACAGGACACGCTGCTCTGAAGCGGGTGCTGAGTCACAGGTGCTGGAGGAGGGTCGGGCGGTAGCCCCCAACCACGGAAAGCCCGACAGCACAGGGATTCCGGCCGTGGGCGTGGCCCATCCCCTGGATGCTCGGGAGGAACAGACAATTGAAGAATAAAACTAAGCCTCTCCTCAAGTAATTTATATATTTTATCTGGGGGAGAAAAGGCATTTGTATACATGAGACAATTAGCAAAGATCACAGGGCTGTATATAATTTACTGAACAGTATAAAATGGCGTGTGGAGTCTGGCGTGGAGTCTGAGAGAGCCCTCGTCACTCAGAGGAGGAGTTGCAGAGGAAGGGGGGTGCGGGGTGAGGGGTACTCAGGGTGGGTTTGTGGTGCTGGAAGCCAGGTCTGGAGGAATGGGATAGTTCGGTGCTGAGGGAACACCCTGCTAGCTATTTTTGTTTTTGTTTTCAGCTGAGTGCAGAATTCCTTAATGGAAGCTGCCTGTTCCCTACAGTAAAAGGGCTGAGCACAGGGTGCTAATGGCAAATACTGGTGTTCTTTGTCTCCAGAACTAGATGATCCCTTTGGAATAACTTCCCCCTTATGAAAAACTAGGGGGCTGGTGCATGGATTCGTGCATTGGTGGGATTCCCTAGCCTGGCTTGTGCTGTCTCACCATCGCACCCCTCGGGATGTTGAGGGCCGAAACCAGTGGTTCGATGTCCCCCAAGTAGCGCTTGAAACAGCAGGCTGCTGCGGAGGCTGTGCCCGCTCATCCTGGCCCCGCTGCGCCTGCTGCAGGCTCGTGCCCAGTCAGTCCCTATCAGGAGAGGTTCGCACCACTGCTGCCTCAGTGGCGCTTGCCAGCTGTGAGCCCGGCGTCTGGTACCTGTTGGTTAGCTGAGCGGCGATGCCGCTGTGGGAGTGCACTGACCACTAGGGGGCAGCTCCTGTGTTGAGCGTCTGCCCCCTAGTGGTCGTGTACATCATAGCAACTGTTCGACCTATCGTTCTGTCAATTGGTCGCATAGGCTTTTATATGTATAGATGTGAGCTCTGACAGAAGAGACTGTTGATAGTAGGTGGATGTATTTGGGCTTTTGCATGATTGTTTGCTTTATTTGCTAGGGAAGGAAGGTCTGATGTTCATTTCTACCTCTTTGGACAATATGATTTTGTGCTGAGAAGAATGGTCTTGTAGTTTCTAAATGATATATTTGTGTTCATGTCCATTCCCTTGATTCTACCCAAGCAGGACACTTCATGCTACCTTCTCTTGCCCCTTAAATTCTCCTCTTCCCAAAAAACCAACCCAACAACCCTGACTGTATTAGTGGGTTACTCTCTAATGTCATAAAGTTCTCAGTGCTAGAGACTGGTGAACAGACCAGTTTGACAAATCTGGTAAACTCCCAGTTGAAATTCTAATTGTTAATGACAACACTCTTTGTATTAGTTAAAATGGCTGATTACTTTTTCTTCTTCGTTGTTTCTTCATTGAGCTTTTCTTCCAAGAGCAAAGACTTTTGACAGCCCCTCCAGCTTCTCCCAGACCTGTTCAAAGCCTTCTGTAAATATCCTGTAGACCTGATTTTTCTCATCACCTTGTGGATACATGCTCAGGCTCACTCCAAGGTTCTAGGTGGGTTCACTCTGGCAGGACCAAGTCCTGCCTTGCTGAAAGAATCGCACCTCTTTAAGAACGGGTGGAGCCTGGCCAGTGTGCCTGAGTGGTTGAGCATTAAACTATGAACCAGGAGGTCATGGTTTGATTCCCATTCGAGGCAAATGCCCGGGTTCCGGGCTCGATCCCCAGTGGGAGGCATGCAGGAGGCCTCTCATCATTTCCTCTCATCATGGATGTTTCTATCTCTCTCCCTCTCCCTTCCTTTCTGGGAAAAAAAAAAAAAAATGGGTGGACATTGTTTGCATGGAGTAACTCAGTTCACATCTTACGTGGATACAGAAACTGGAGTTAAGTAACCTGCTGAGAGTCCTTTTAGTCATAAGATTTTAGGTTATTTGAAGTAAGCAACAAATAAGTTTCGTTTACATGTCTGCTTGTTTCAACGCAACTAATTTCTCAATATTCAGCAACACTATTGCTCATCTACTTTATATGCTTATGGGTTTTGGCTAAACTAGAATTTCAGCTTTTTGCTCATTGACATCAAGTTCTTTCTAATGGGTGAGTCTTCTGCCATTTTCTTTTCCTCTAACTGTAAAGAATAGAGTTTGTTGTTTTGTTTCAATCCTTCCCCTGTATCCACCCACCAAAAGAATGCTAAGCTTACATGAATGTATTTTTATAAATGACGATGGTGATTTCTACTTTATCACCTTCCCTAGGACCAATATTTTTTGGTACCCTGGATTCTTTTTTTAAAAAAATATATTTTTATTGATTTCAGAGAGATAGAGA